CAAAGACCGTCCACTTGTTAGCATAGACAGCTCGCGTGGACGGCGCCCATGCATTAGCCATTGTATGCCCTATGGACCCAGTGTATCTTGAGAAGGTGGACCCCGGCCTTGCAGGGGCCAAATCCAGAGCTGGAGCCGGTCCGGTTCGGGGTGCAAGATCTGACCCCCCATCTGGGAAAGAAGGTCTCTCCTGGAGGGGAGACGCATTGGCGAGCCGGAGCTGAGCTCGCACAGTAGAGGAAACCAAGTCCTCGCTGGCCAGTAGGGGGCCACCAGCAGGACCCTGTGCCCCTCCTGACGTACCCTGAGGAGAGTCTGAAAAAGTAGGCTGAATGGCGGAAAGGCATAAAGGAGGGTCCTGGGCCAGTCGTGTGCCAGAGCATCGTGGCCCAGAGGGCTGCTGTTGTCCAACGAGAACCAAAGGGGACAGTGAAATGCGTCCCTTGAGGCAAAGAGGTCCACGTCCGCCCTGCCAAAGACCTTCCAGATGCACTCCACCACCTCTTGGTGAAGCTTCCACTCCCCTGGAAGCGGCTTCTGACGGGATAGAAAATCTGCTGGCACGTTCTCCGGCCCTGGGATGTAGGCTGCTCTGAGGCTGGCTATGCGTGGAGCTGCCCAGGTCAGAAGCCGTTGAGTCAAGCACAACAGTTTCCTTGACCTCGTGCCCCCCTGGTGGTTGATGTGAAAGACCACTGTGGTGTTGTCTGACCTCACCAGCACGTGCTTCCCCCGCAAGCCTGGAAGAAAGCTCTGAAGAGCCAGAAGCACAGCCTGTAACTCCAGGACATTGATGTGTTCCCTGCCCTGCCGCTGGGACCATGTCCCCTGTGCCATTTGACCCCGCCAGGTTGCACCCCAGCCCGTGGAGGATGCATCTGTAAACACAACTTCCCGACGACACGGGAGGGAACCGAGCGGGACCCCTGTGGTCATAAACAACCTCACCCTCCATTGGGACAGAGACTGAAGACACTGAGGCCCCACCCGAAGTCTTCGGAGACGATGAGTGTTCCGTGTGGGATCCAGATTCAAGCTGTTCAACCACATCTGGAGGGGCCGCAATGACAGCAGCCCCAAGGGCACTACGGCGGACGCAGCTGTAAGCATGCCCAAGAGTCGAAGATACCGCACAAGAGGCAGCGCCATGCCGCGCCTGAATTCCGGGAGCACGCTCAATATGCTGTCCACCCGCTGGGGTGACGGGCAAGCAGTCATTGAGATGGAATCCATGGCAATGCCCAGGAAGACAGTCTCCTGTGAGGGGGTCAGACTGCTTTTCTCCATGTTCACCTGCAAGCCCAAGCATCCCACATGATGGAGCACTAACCGAGTATCTCGAACCGCCTGGTCCCACGTCGCGGCACAAATGAGCCAGTCGTCCAGATATGGGAGGATCCTCAATCCCTGTGCCTGCAGAGGAGAGAGGGCCGCTGCAACACATCGGGTGAACACCCTGGGGGACAGTGAAAGTCCGAACGGGAGGACCCTGAACTGGAAATGCCTCCCTTGAAAAGCAAAACGAAGAAACCGCCAATGGGGCGGAGCGATCGGAACGTGAAAATAAGCATCCCTGAGATCTATGGAAGTGAACCAATCGCCCGGGGAAATCGCCTGCAACACTTCCTTGGTGGTCAGCATATGAAAGGGCATGGCCTTCAAGTACACATTCAGGCCTCTGAGGTCCAAGACTGGACGCAGGCCCCCGGTCTTCTTCGGAACCAGAAAATACGTGGAATAAAAGCCCCCTGGATCCAGCAGGGGGTCCACAGGCACTATAGCACCCTTGGCCAGCAAGGTGCAGATTTCTTGGTTCAGTGCCTGTGCCTTCACCGGGTCGTGGATCACAGTCATCCTGACCCGGCCAGGGATAGGTGGCCGGCGGCGGAATTGAAGACGGTACCCCCGGGACAGGGTGGACAACACCCACAAGTCCGGGGTGTGGGCAGCCCAGAAGCTGAGCTGTCCCGGGGAAAAATAACCGACCGCCGGCCCTAAGGCATCATCTGCGGGTCCCCCGGCCCTTCGAAGGCCCGGGAGGACGCCGGCCAGACTGCGCGGCTCGAAAGGGATGAAAGGACCTCGTCCCAGCCTGGTCTCGAGCTCTGTTCCTCCGATCTAGAGCAGGTCCCCGGACCGATCTCTGACCTGGTAACAGACCCTGGGGCTCAGTGGGAGAAGGAGAAGGCACTAAGGACCTCCGTGAAGGACCCGCAGCTGCCCAGGTGCTTACTGGCTGGCGATCACGTCTGTGAAGCCCTGCCAGCTGTTGCCTCGTTCTAGAGGCCTGAGCCGTACGGTCCAAGGCGTCCAGTGCCGCTGAACCAAAAAGCTCCCCCGGGACCACAGGCAGGGCCCGGAGGGTCCTCCTACAAGGCTCAGTTAGTGGTGACTGCGCCAACCAGACCTGGCGGCGAGCATGAACCAGTGTGGAGAGTGTGCGTCCAAGTTCCCTCGTCATAAGAGCAAAGGCCTGCAGAGATGCATCAACCAGGCCTTGCGTGGCATGATCCAGCGGAACAGATTCCAAGGAGGAAGACAGGGCCAGCATAAGATGGGAGAGAGAGTTCCCAATCTGGCCCATGCGGGCCCCAGAGTCATAGGCCTTACAGAGAAGGTCGTCGGTAATACGGCACTGAGGACGCGGACAACGGGCATTGGGCCGCAAGGCCTCATCAGGCGGGATTATAAGAGAGGCAATGCCCGGTTCCACCGCTGGCATCTGCCCCAAGCCAACCTTGGGTGCCTCCTGCATAGCTGCCAGGACCCTGCCATCCGTCGTCAGACGTGAAAACGCCTTGGTGTCTGACCAGCAAGCATGCAGTTCCCGCACATACTCCGCCGAGGGAGGAACCACAAAGGCAGTCTCTGACCTACTGCGCCTAAAGAAGGCGCTGGAAGCCGCAGGCTGGGCCTGAGGAACACTAATCTGTAAACGGGCAAGAGCCGTTCGAATAGCGGATGTCACAGACTCCCCCGTATCCTCCTGGGAGGCAATGGAGTCCGACCCAGAGGCCCCGGAGCCCAGCTCCGGAAGGTCCTCACAGAAATGGGTGCCAGAGGCCGCCACAGAAACAGCATCGTCGTCATTGACTGACGTTTCATCCTGCTCGGTAGGGAGAGCCGTGCCGCGATCACCAGCAGTCTGAAAGGACTGGAGGAGGGCTTTCATTTGGGCCAGCTCAGTAGTGAGATGATCCACTCTGGCAACCTCCCTGCATCGGTCCGTCTAGCACGCTTCGTCGGTACCGAAGGTGCAGCCACAGTAGATCGTTTGCACACCGCTTTCTCCATCGGCAAACGAGCACGCGGCGAAGCGCTCGCCCAGTCGGTAGGCTGCTCCAGTGCAGCCAACCGATCCAGTCTGACCGACCGGGGCATGACGCGACAGTTGGGGCAAGCGTCATCTGACAGCGTCTCCCGGAGATGTTCCACACCGAGGCAGGAGGGACACAAGTCATGCCTGTCATCCGGCTGAAGTGGAGCCAGACAGGTCGAGCAACATAAATTATCCAGCATCATACTGCTGAAAGGCGTGATCAGCCTGCTACCAAGGACAAGTCAACACGAGCAGGAAACGCTACTGGCGACTCGTTGTAGGAAAACCCCCGCAGAGATTCCAAACTCAGCGTGAGCAGAAACGCCACTAGCAAATCGATTATTAACTAAAGATGAACTCAGCACGAGCAGAGACGCCACTGGTGAGTTTAGGCAAACAAACTATAGAAGAACCCAACGCGAGCAGAAACGCTACTGGTGGGCTTAGGCAAACAAACTGAAAACAACTCAGCGCGAGCAGAAACGCCACTGGTGAGTGTAGATAAACAAACTATAGAAGAACCCAACGCGAGCAGAAACGCTACTGGTGGGCTTAGGCAAACAAACTGAAAACAACTCAGCGCGAGCAGAAACGCTACCGTGAGTCAAAAGAGCCACAAAATTAACATGGCAAATCAAAGCGAACAGTAAACTACTGCTGAGAAAAGAACGAAAACTTACCAGTCACCGCAGATCTGGTAAGGTGAAAGCAGCTTGTGCAGCCCCTGGAGGGCGAGACTTACCCGCAGCTCCGACCAAACCCGGTCACGAGGCTACCAGCAACAAGCAGCCAGGAAACTAGTGGTATACACAGAAGCAACCAGCTTCACACGACCACACTCCGGTACTCAACACACCTGCGCGCGAGAAGAACAAAAGGGATTGATTGCCGGGTGCCACGTGACTATATAGAGTCACGTGGGTCCCCGGCAGGTCACAGCTGACTTTGTTGTCATTAATACTCGACCTGCGCATGCGCAAGAATGATCATTCAGTGCTTGAAGCACCGCCTCTGGCGGTCAGTAGGGATGAAATAGAAGCTTCTTTGTCGCTTCCAGCGCTGTGGGTCTGAACGTAGCATCAGACGTCTGAACAGCAACTGGGAAGCTACAGTGTCAGCAGCCGTAGGAATTGAGCTACAGACCTTCAGCAGAAATAGGAGCCTGTTCTTCTTGTACATAAACCAGATGAGTCTCTGCTCAATCACACCTACTCCACTGACTGCCGGTTCTCCCAGCAGAGAGTCCAGGAGAAGCAGAAAACCAAAAGCAGCAAACATCCTCAGGAGGTTCAGCAAGGCAGCAAAACCTTTAGAACCTTCAGAACTGGAAACAAGGCTGAATGCACCCTGACCCCTGACCCCTCCTTAGAGCGCTATAAGGGTTCCGCCTTTTATAGGAGTGTCCAAATGTCTACTGGATGAAAAAGAAGTGGACTCAGAACTCCCCACAACCTACCTTGTAAAGTAGTGATCATCCATGGTCATTAGGCGAGTAAACATATCCCATGATGCTTTGCCAATAGAGCTCCCCTGGCAAAGCATCATGGGATATGTTTTGGAGATGAGAAATAACAAAGATGGCGTAGGCAGCACGCAGGGAGACGGAGTCACATGAGCAACAGCGAGTGGAAAGCAGTGATCTGAAAGGTCAGCTAACAGAGTTCACTATGAGGTCCACTATATAGTGATGGAGGGGTCAAAGGTCGCCTCTAACACACAGAAGGATAACAACCATCCCCCGGTAGCAGCTTAGTGACACGGCTGAAGGAAGTCTTACCAGTGCTGGCCATTGGACGTGTTTGGCCGTGGCTCCCTGCAGAAGGCCTCCAGCTCCTCCTTCTTTCCTCCTGGCCCAGACCAGCTGGTGCTCCAGGAGAAACAGCTGGAAATCCTCGTAGACCTTCACCCACTCCCTCTTCTCCCACTCCTGGTCATCGAACTCCACGTACACCTGGACAGAGCACAGAGGGACAGCCAATCAGAGAGCAGGACCGCTGAGGAGGAAAAACACAACCTAGGGAGGAAGAGATGGACAGGTTACAGTGATGAAGATTGGTTAGTGTGAGGTCCAAACCATCAGAACCACCTGAGGTCCATCAGAACCACCTCAGGTCCATCAGAACCACCTGAGGTCCATACCATCAGAACCACCTGAGGTCCATCAGAACCACCTCAGGTCCATCAGAACCACCTGAGGTCCATACCATCAGAACCACCTGAGGTCCAAACCATCAGAACCACCTGAGGTCCATCAGAACCACCTCAGGTCCATCAGAACCACCTGAGGTCCATACCATCAGAACCACCACTCTCCATGCAGTCTCTTTTAGACTCCGCCCCCTCTGGGAGCATCATCAGCTCCTGTTCCATCCTCCTCTGCAGGCAGAGAGGAACACAGAGCAGAGAAGGGATCAACGAGTGCATCTCTCCTCAATCAGCCCCTCCTCCCATGATGCTTTGCTGCAGTCATCTGAGCGAACGAGCGCTCTTTGTTTGCCGCTGCTGCCATCCATCCAAACCTCCACTATTAACTAACAAAATGCCTCCTGAACAAACAAAGTTCATTGTTTATTATTAATGTTTCACATGAATTCAGCAACCTTAATTTAAGGTCATATTTTAACTATTGTTCAGCTAAATCAGAGTCTGTAGATCGTTTGATCGTTTTCATCAGATTAAATCCCAATTAAGCTGGAACAGCCTGATTTATGGATTATTACAGTGAGCATCCAGGGCACTATGGAGTTAATTCTGCTCCATTATTTGTTCAAGCAAAGAGCAGGTGTTGTAAATAGCAATCAAATTTTATAAAACATTTGAATTAAAAATGGTATTTTTGCAATTTTCTCAGATTTTTTTTATAGTCTTTAAAAAAAAAGATATGAAATAATAAATATGTGAAAAATACATTATACATTTTCACTTTTTTTGTATCAATTGTTTTTTCTTTTCAAATTGCATTTTCTGGATCACATTTCCAGTCCAATCCAAACGCACCAGGTGACCAATAGAGATGCGTCATCACTCCTCGCAGCAGAGGAAACCCCGCCCCCAGAAGGACTGAGAATCAGGTCTGGAAAAACTGATTTGAAAAGAATGAAATTCATAAAAGTCAATCTAAGAAGTGAAATTTGAATAAAACTTTTAATACAAGATGATATATGTAATAATAAAATAAATGGAATAAAAATCAGAAAAATCTTAAGTTATTTTGAAAAATAAGTTTGAAAATCTGTTAAAATACATTTCAAAAACATTTGAAATAAATAAAATGTTAGAAAACAAACTTTTTTAGATTAAAACACTTTTCAAAGCTGCATTTGTGGTTTACATTTCCTTCATTTTCCATTTACAAAAAGTTCCTATGCTGCAACAATAATGGAACAAAATCCACTCCATACACCTGAAAAAGACAGCAGAACATTTCTGATAATCCCGTCTTTAATCAGCTGTTCTGACAGATGAGAACTAAACGCAATCAGAGGAAGACAATAAGTGAAAAAGTCCACCACTTCCATTCAAACCTTACCGCCATTATTTCCCTGCCTTTAGTCTCTTGAGCAAAATCTCAGAGCGCCTTCTTCCAACGCCACCATCTGCTCTATTTAGGCTCTAATGATTAACATTAGTGACATTAACCCATTTGGTCAGCAGTGCCCAGCAACAGGTGGGGGCAGGGCAGTTGTGGAGGCCGTTGCTCTCCTTCCAAAGCATCAGGCGATGATGACGGATTCAGACAATTGGAACCAGTCGGACCCTTCAGGCAGCAGAACCAGAACCTGAGGCCCGTGCTGATCAGGCTTCTCAGATGACAATAACACACAGCAAGCAGGATCTGTGGATCAGTCTGTTACCATGGTAACTGGAGTTGTGAATCTGCTGCCACTTCCAACCCTCCCGTGGAACCAGGGAAGGACTGAAAAGCTGCGGAGAACCAGAACATCTGCGTCCAGAAGGTCAAAAGGAGCACGAAATGTGGGAAGTGTTTTGGATCTGTGGCAGGTTCCTAACCAATGATCAAGGTATTAAAATGGACGACATTTATTGACATGGATCCCATTTTCCTTCTATTTGGAAACCATCAAACACCTGCTTCAGTTAAACACCTACAATCCTTTGCTGCATCACACTCAGATGACCAAAATTACGAGTTTTATTTTGGGATTAAAACTTCAAATGTCCATTTGTGTTATTTGCAACAATAACGGAACAAAATTCACTCCATAAAGCTTCTACAGTAGGTCTGAGGTTCTATATTCTAACTGCGGTGGTTCTAGGCATGGTGGAAGGTCCAAAGAGACCCGGATCCAGAGCATCATCGGGTCACCCTCACCACTGGTTCAGAATTAGAGCTTAAAATCAGGCTGATGATCAGGAAAGAGTTCTGACCCTGATGGCCGTTCTGGTTCTGCTTTTAGTGCTGCGGTGGAGGATAATCTGCCTGTCACCATCAGATGAGCAGCCGGGTTCTGGCTGGCTGAACCGGAGGGAGCTGGGAGCCAATGAGCACGAAGCATCAGAGCAGCCAACTAGAGAGGAGAGAGCAGCCAAATCTGCCTGTAAATACTGCAGCAGGAAACATGGAGGCTTCCAGAACAGAAGCAGCAGCAGCAGCAAAATAAAAATGAAAATAAAAACACAAAAAAATGTGTTTAATACATTTTAAAAGCCTGAGAAAACAGCAAAGTTACCCCGAAAAACTTTTTTTTTTCTTAATGAAATTTTTTTTTCAATGTTTCATTTCTGGATTTCCTTTTTTTACATTTACAAATGGTGTTCTTTGCTGGTAAAATAACGGAACAGAATTGACTCCATATCAGCTGAGAGTAAAGACAGAACAAAGCCTTCCTCTCTTTCCAATAAGCTCCGCTCTAAAGTCCCCTGACAGCCGCTGGAGGCCCGGAGCCTGTAGCTCATCGACTCCGCTGCTAATCAGCAGAGCTAACAAGTTATTATTAATCGAAGAAATTAAGCAAAAAATAAATCAGTATCGACTTTAAAAAAAGATCCCGTATCTCTTCTGCATTAATAATAACAATCCATCTTTATTATTATATATTAATAAAGCTCTTTACATTTAGACATTGACGTTCTACAAAGTGATCATAAAAAAATGCAGAACTCCAATCATTAAAATGTAAAGCCTGGAAATTAGACATCCCAACCAGGTGATAAGAAAAAACAAAAATTCTGGTTGCTATGGTAACTGCTTTCAGCTCAGGGGCTCGTCTAGCTAGGTAACCAGCTAGCCGTCATCCTCAGCATCCAGATCTGCAGGTTTGGACTAACAGCTGCAGTAAAGCAGTTTTTACACCACTTTTAGGTAGAAATTGCTGTAAATCATCCAAATGTTACATTAGCTCAGTGTTTTGTCGTTCCTGAATCACTACTTTCTCACTCCTTCCTAAACCTCTCAGAAAGGTGTTGGTTTGCTGGAGGTGAGATACGTCTCCTGTTTGATGGAGTTTAGGCTAAAAACACAGGATGATGAAGATCAGTGAGCTAACGTGAGGAGTTCGGCCTCTGCCTGCTGTTTAGTCTGGTTCCACCCGTCAGTCTAAGTAGGTCAATGCTCTGCAGAGAGCAACCATCTCCAAACAGTCCTCATATCAACAGGCAGAGTTCAGCCAAGCTGCCGTGTTTCCGTGGTGAAGGAACCGTCTGCAGGGATGAACCATGACATCAGCGCAGAGAAGATGTGATCTCATCCAGAGCAAACCAAACATGTTTGCAGAACCAGAACCAGGAGAGATGGGGCTCTCAGCAGCAGAGCCGCTGCGGCGGGAAGAGTGGCTCTGTTGTGCAGAATCACTGGGACGCAAGTAATGCGAAGGAGAGAGGAAGAGGAGCAGAGCAGCTGAGGCGATGGCTCCCAGCGGGTCTGGAAGAGGAGGGACGGCGAGCAGCGGCGAGGCATTTTAGTTCGCTCCTCAGCCATCTCCTCCATCTGCAGCTGGAGACCAGCCAACCTTCAGGCTCAGAACCGACCGACTCAGGGTCTAAACTGCTCCTCCTGAAGCCCACAGCATCATCATCCTCAGACACTGAGCTGTTGGTATTTGGGGAGGGTAAAAGGCAGCAGAGAAACCACAGAATGCCCCCCCCCCCATCGTTTTCCTTCCTTTTTCCGCTCTCAGTTCGCCTCTCCTGGAAATACGGCTCCAATAATAGCCCGCTTGTATGGAGACAATCGTTTGGAAATCTAGGGCAGGATGGGAAAATCCCCCCGTCTGGCCCACGCTGCACGGCAGCTCATGTTGCACAACGCATGCATGGATTTTATTAATCGCCCTGTCCTGTGCAGGGATAAAGAAAGGACCACCATCTTTGAAAAAATATCAGCTTGTCTCCAAATTGCTCAACAGCATCTGACTAGTGACCAAAAGCTACACAGAAATCTACATTTCTTAAATTTGATAGAAATATAGTCTGGATTGAATCCTGTTGTATAATCTACAGCAAATCTGAACAGGTTTACAGGCAACAACTGATCAAGGCAACAACTAAACAAACCAACAACAGGCCAACAACTTAACAGGCCAACAACTAAACAAGGCAAAAACTAAAAAAACCAACAACTAAACAAGGCAACAACTAAAAAGGCCAACAACTAAACAAACCAACAAGTAAACAAACCAACAACTGACCAAGCAAAAAGCTGAACAGGCCAACAACTGACCAAACCAACAACTTAACAGGCCAACAGCCGAAAAAACCAACAACCAAACAAGGCAACAACTAAACAAGGCAAAAACTAAACAGGCCAACAACTTAACAGGCCAACGGCCGAACAAACCAACAACTGAACAGGCCAACAACTGACCAAGCAAAAAGCTGAACAGGCCAACAACTGACCAAACCAACAACTTAACAGGCCAACAGCCGAAAAAACCAACAACCAAACAAGGCAACAACTAAACAAGGCAAAAACTAAACAGGCCAACAACTGAA